TTTCCTCTCTATATATCTAACTTTCCAATAAAATAAATAAAATTTATAGGAAAAAAAATTAATCTCTGGGGATGTGCCAAGGAACCTGTGCTTTCTAAAAAAATTATTTATTGGGCCCGGCGTGATAGTGTAGCGGTTAAAGTCCTCGCCTTGAATACACTGGGATCCCATATGGGTGCCACTTCTAACCCCAGGAGGCCCTGCTTCCCATCCAACTTCCTGCCTGTGGCCCATGAAAACAGCCAAGGACAGTCCAGAGCTTTGGGACCCTGCACCAACATGAGAGACCCAGAAGAAGCTCCTGGTTCCTGGCTTTGAATTGGCTTAGCTCCAGCTGTTGCGGCCCATTGGGGAGTGAACCGTCAAAGGGAAGATCTTCCTCTCTTGTTTCTCCTCCTCTCTGTATATCTGCTTTTCCAATAAAAATAAATAAATCCTTTAAAAAAAGTATTTATTTATTTGAAAGGCTGAGCTACACAGAGACAGAGGGAGGTGAGGAAGAAAGAGAGATCTTACAAACGCCAGTGCACTCCCAGGTTGCTACAATGGCTGGAGGTCAGGTAGAAACCAGAGGCTTCCCATGAGGCTGCAGGGGCTCAAGTACTTGGATCACTTTTTGGTGCTTTCCTAAGAACATTAACAGCGAGCTGCAATATAAGTAGAGCAGCCAGGACTTGAAGATCAGTGTTGTGGATGAAGGCTTAACCAACTAGGTTATAACCTCAGCCCCAGAACCTGCACTTTCAAGCAAGTTTTGAAGGTAAATCCTACCATCTTGAAGAGATTTAGGGAGCCTGTCTCAGGGTATCCTCCGTAACCAACAGAAATTGTGGTAAACATACTGTTCTGGGGATTGCCACACTGGCTCAACTTGCTAATTCTTTAAGTGCCAGCAACCCAAATGGGCGCCGGTTCATGTCCCACCTGTTTCACTTCTGATTCAGCTCCCTGCTCAAAGCCTTGGGACCCTGTAACTGTGTGGGAGACCTGGAAGAAGCTCCTGGCACTTGGCTTCGGATCAGCTCAGCTCTGGCCGTTGTCACCATTTGGGGAGTTTGAACCAGCCGATGGATATTGTCTCTGACTCTCCTTTCTATAAGTCTGCCTTTCCAATAATAATAAATATATCTTTAAAAAATATATCATTCTACTCATGTTTTATTTTGTCTAACATTTACTGAATGTTTACCTTTTACTAAGCTCGATGCCTTTCATCCACAAAACCTGCAGAGAAAGGCACAAAATTCTCTTACTGTTCTCCCCAGAGAGGGCCATGTTGACAGTCTCCCAAAATATTTAAAATGCCTGTCTGTAGGATGCCTTGCCACTTCATACCCACCCTCAGATGACTGAAGGATACTAAGAGAATAGCATCTTTGCCTGCACTTTTTACCTAGTTTAATAGAGACTTCCTCCCACCCCCAGGGTTGACCCCAATTGGCAAGAGATTTTGCTATGCGTTGGGTTGGAAGCATCCTGAGAGAGCAGACTGCTTCTGCCTGCAGGGAAGAGGCAGCCTATGAGTGGGAGAGAAAAGGAGCCATGGAGAGCTGAGAGTGTGGTCAGTGGTCGGTGGTCCTGGCCATGGAGAAGAGGCTGGCTGAGATTTCAAAGCATTCCTACATCAAACACAGCCCGAAAAGCAGGCTCCTCTGCCGTCATCTCCCACAGAGAAGTCCAGGAGCACTGGGGCTCTGCAGGGCAAAGGACTCTTGGGAAGTCATGGCCTGAAGAAGTAATAGAATTCGGAAGACATTTCTCCCATATCCAGTGAACATAGGCGACATATTTTAGTTATTTACTTCTTTCCATATACATTTCCCCCATCCCTCATATCTTCAAATGTCTCCTTAGAATATTTTTCAAAATAGATTTATAAGATAGCTAAGACTTATGTCAGAAATGAATTTCTGGGGCTGCTACTGTGGTGTTCCAAGTCAAGCCATCGCCTGAGGCCAGCGCCCCATACTGAGGCAGGGCTTTCGGTCTCAGCTACTCGGCCTCCAGTCCAGCTTCCTGCTAACACAGAGAGCAGTGCAAGATGCACCAAGCAGAAGGGCCTCTGTCACTCATGAGGGAGACACGGGTGGAGTTCCAGGCTCTTGGCTTCAGCCTGGACAAGCCCTACAAGTTGTAGCCTTTTGGGGGGGGGGCGGTAAACAAACAGACAGGAGATCACGTTCTGCCTTTCTTCCTGTCACTCTGTAGTTCACACAAATAAATCTGTTTTTAAAAATGAATCCCTTGTTCTTTCAGTGCCACAGTATCTTTTTTTCCCAAGCTCAAGCTTCTCTCTTAACTAAACTTCTTTCCCAGTAGGTGGTTAAGAAACATCTATTGAATCTGAATCCAAATAACAGGAGTCTTCTAATCAGAGCAAGCAAGAAGCTGGCCCAGGAATGAAGACGGCAATGCCAACTCCCAAAGTGTGGCATATGCCAAGGAGTCAGAGGTGGGAGGGACATAAGAGAAAGGTGAGCATAATGCAGCTGGAAGCGTGCAATGATCCGAAAACAGCCCCTTGGACTGGATTCCCTGTGCACTGCCATCCATAGTTGTGAAAACAAAGCATAAAAGAACAACCCCTATTCTCTTTTTGCACACTCTCTCCTTAGTAAAGGTTAAAATTACCCAATTCTGCTTTAGAGAAATCATGAGAATAGCTCATGGGCACATCAAAGTCAAGGTTTTTAGCAGCAGGGACCCAATCCTTGCCCCCAGTGCTTAGCAGCAATGATTTAGCCTCGATGGCCACGCAGGATGCCAAGGCACTTGGGCTGTCTGCTTTTCCTGAAACCTTGGAGAAAATGCCTTTCAGCTGATGGGCCTCCATTAGTCCCATCTGAACATCAGGCTGGGTGTGGGTCCTATACCCTGGATGGCAGTCCTCAGTCGGGCATCCTCCCCAAAGAGATTGACAAGGCCAGCCTTCCTTCATGGGGCCTCTGGACCTGAGCTGTGGCAGCGCGAGCTCCATCTGATAGAGACTGTGAGACCTGGGGACATCCTGCAGGTGGAAACCAGCCAGAAGTCAGGCTGGGGTAGCAGAAGGGCCACTGGGAACTCAACAACCTCTCATTGGCTGACACATTTGCATTCAAGGCACAGAGACAGAGAGCAAAGGAGAAAGATATTTGAAGGCTGAGCTAACTCTGAAGGGCTCCATCACCGCCTGAGTATTATGGTGATGGAGAGAGAACTTAATTTTCCTCCTCTTAAACATTATTTAGAATCTTCATCATCTAACTGTAGGACAAAGGTTGAAGTTCTACTTTTAGCACAGAATTTCATTTCCCAGGGAAGGCACGGACTCCAGCAGTGCAGGATGCCCCAGGCCCTTTAGCTGTATGCTCATACCTAGGGGTCTACTCTGTCAGACCCCTCTGATCCTGGCTCTGCCTCAGCCCCACAATCCTTTCCCAGGTGGCTTTGTTCCTTACCAAGTCCGCATTGCGCTAAGGAACTGGCACCAGACCTCTCCATGAAGTGGACTCTCAGCCAGCGGTCCCACTGCTTTTTCCTGACTAGCGGATCAAATGGTAACAAAACCATGACCATTTTCAAGGGCACTTGATTATGCCAAGTGTAGACTCTTTCAGAGTCTTCACCCACGCAACTTTAAAAAGCCACCCTTTCCCCTTAGGACTGCGTGTCCACAACCTGCTTCTTGAGTCTGTGAGTTTCCTGCAACTCCCTCCCCCAAAAGAAATGCTCAAGGAAGTTGGAAGCTTGGTCAATGTAAAGCCTCACTTTGCAACCCATCTACTCATTTCCTGTGCCAACTGCACTTTTATTTCCCGTCTGTCTACACTCAGTCAACAAAACCCTATTATCAAGGGAAAGACGTGAGCCCATTAACATCATGGAGCCCTCAGATTGCACTCGCAGGAGACAACGCAGCACTTATCTGATGGAACACGAGCTTTAATTGCTTGGAGCTCAAGGAGGCCCAAGCCTTTGATCGCTGGGAAGGCCGTGCGCCCCCAACTTAAGCGTTTGTGCCAGCCTCCCAAACATGAGCACTCCTCCCAAGGTGGGTTCTTTATTCTCACCTCCTGGAGCGTGGGAAAAATGTTAAACTTCCATACAAAGCAGAAACTTTTGTCTAAATCAAAACCTGACAATCACTTGCCCTGATCCTGCGGTTACCAATGGAGGGCTAGCAGACGTAGAGGGGAGAGAATTCAGTGTAGTAACGCGGAAAGAAAACCTAGTGTGAGAGGGAAGATTTCGTCCCGCCCTGGGTACCCAGCACTGACAACCTCAAGTGAAGTCCTGAGTGTCGCAGGGAAGGGGAGAAAAGCCGCAAAAACCAAATCTCCGCTGCAGTCGTGGGGAAGGGAGACACCGGTACCCAGGCACAGGAGTCGGAAAGAAAGCACACAGGAGTCAGAGAAGTAACTTTACCTTGCCTGGAGCTAACGGCGGTCCCCACGCGCGGAGTTCCACGCTAACCCCGTTCCCCACCGCGGCTTCTGCAATCTGCACAGTGCGACTGGCCACCCGCGATCTGAGCAGAACGGGAAGTAGGTCCCCACCCGCGACCCAGGCTCTCATTCCCGCGGCCAGAGCTGCCTCCGCCCTCCTCGCCCAATACCTGTAGGGGACAGCGGGGCGTCCCGAGCTCTCGCCCCACCCTTCCGCCCGCGATCCCCGGGCGCACAGGTTCCTCAGGGGCCGGGGGGCGTGGCGGGAGGCGCTGGGCCAGGGCTCCGGGCTGGTTTGGCTAAGTTTGCTGCGGAGCCGACGGGAGGAGCCGCGCATCAGTCGGGTCGGGGCAGTGCGGGGAAGGCGCCCATTGGCCGGCGGGCGCCACGTGGCCGCCCCCGCTGGTATATTAAGCCACTATTTATCCTCGGTTTGCTCGCCCAGGCTCTGCGAGGGCAGGTCGGGTACAGAGGGTAGGCGGAGCGGCGCAGACGGCCACGGTCCCGGCAGGGTTCCGCGCCTCGGCCCTGGCCCGCCACCTGCGGGCTAGGGGGCTGGGGAAAAGCGGAAGCATGAGCTCCTATCTGGAGTACGTGTCTCGTGGGGGCGGCGGCGACGTGCTCAGCTTCGCCCCTAAGTTCTGCCGTGCCGATGCCCGACCCGTGACTCTGCAGCCCGCTTTTCCCCTGGGCAACAGCGACGGCGCCTTCGTCAGCTGCCTGCCCCTGGCCGCCCCTCGGCCCGCGCCTTCGTCCCCCGTCGCGCCTGTGCAGCCATCCGCGCCTCCCGCGGTTGCGCCCCGGTACCCACCGTGCACCCTGGAGGGTGCCTACGAGCCAGGCGCGGCACCTGCTGCGTCGGTGGCAGCAGCCGGGAGCACGGACTACGGTTTCCTCGGGTCCGGCCCCGCGTACGACTTCCCTGGTGCGCTCGGACGGCCCACCGACGACAGCGGGGCGCACGTCCACTATGCCGCCTCAGCCGTGTTCTCGGGCGGCGGCTCCTTCCTCCTCAGCGGTCAAGTGGATTACACGGCCTTCGGCGAACCCAGCCCCTTCCCGGCAAGTCTCAAGGAGCCAGGAGATGGTCCTCCTGGGGCTTTCCAGACCGCGTCCCCCGCCCCCGGCACCTACCCCAAGTCCACCTCTCCAGCCTCCGGCCTCCCCGCTGCGTTCAGCACCTTCGAGTGGATGAAAGTGAAAAGGAACGCTCCTAAGAAAAGTAAGTGAAGTAGGGTTTAGATGGAGGCACCTGGGGCTGGGGCAAGCGGCAGCTGGTTGCCACTGCTCCTGGAGACGGCAGTCTGGATTTTGGGGGAGAAGGTGGACGAATTCCATTGAACATGTCCCGGGTTACTTTGACTCGGAAAAGCGCTGGGCACGGGGACCAGAGCAGGGAGGAGCTCTCCCTGGAGCGTCTATGCCGGTTCAGAGATAACCAGAAGGTCTTCGTTGTGGCGGGGAGTTTAGCCCCCCAGTTGTGGTCCTGCCTCCCCTCTCCCCACTGACGCTCGCTCTTTCAATTGCAGGCAAACTCGCCGAGTACGGAGCCGCGAATCCGTCCAGCGCCATCCGCACGAACTTCAGCACCAAGCAGCTGACAGAACTGGAGAAAGAATTTCATTTCAATAAGTACCTAACGAGAGCCCGTCGCATCGAGATAGCCAACTGCCTGCAGCTGAATGACACACAAGTCAAAATCTGGTTCCAGAACCGCCGTATGAAACAGAAGAAAAGGGAACGAGAAGGGCTCCTGGCCACGGCTGCTCCAGTGACCTCCCTCCAGCCCCCGGTGGCAGGACCGAACACCTCCAAGTCCAGCAAGAACCCAGGGAGCCCTTCTCCGGATCTGGAGGACCAGGCTCCGGGCTGAGGCACCTTGGTCCTCAGGAAGCCACAGACCACTCCCACCCCTCTCCAGACTCAGGGTGTAGGTGGCCGCGGGCAGAAATCCATAGGGATCCCACCTGGGGAAGATGTATTTTAGGAGGCTTCTTAGTTCCATACTATTTGTCTAGATCTTAATTTGCTGTCTCTTGAGCCACTGGTGTATGTATTGTTTGTGTCTTATCTGGGGGGATATGGGCCCAGTTGGCTGTTCTGTTGCCTCCTGCAGTCCCCTGCAAGTCCTGGGTACAGAGGGGGCAGGCCATCAGTAGGTGAGTTCTGCCAGCCCCCTCCCCACCCTCCATCGTTCACAAAAGCACCTGCACCGGGTGTCATTTAAAGGGCAAGGCTACGGTACAGTCAGTTTCATGAGATGACCAAAGCTAGTTAGGTCTCCTTGATGTAGCTAAGCTGCTTCAATGATGATCTTCAGGTTTGCACTTCTGTTCATATTTTTATTTAAAAGGCCATGTCTACCTCTCCGTGTGCCTGAGTGAAGATACAATCAATTGCTGTTTAGTTAGTAAGCTGGCCAACCCAGAGTTTGGTTGAAGATTAGACTCTAAACCAAACCTTGACATTAGTTACTCAAACTTGAATGTAAATTTACATAATATGTATATTTTTAAAAGGTTTGCCTGCAAGGAACTAATATATGACATTTAATGTCAGCATGTAAGGGTCGGACCCTTTTTTTTTTTTGTAATAAAAATGACAAAACATACTATGCTCCTCTTTTCCTTTCACTCTCCATCTTGATCGTCTTCCTTTGAAGTGGATTCAGCTTCCTCCATTTGGACTATCTTGAGTCTGCCATGGGAATTTGTTTACATCGATTAGCTTCAAAAATAACACGTTGCATACACACACATACACACACGTACACACACGTACACACACGTACACCACTGTAGGGATAATCATGTGAACGCTGTAAGGGAGAAAATCAGGCTGCCAAATGCCCAAGTCACTGAAGAAATACTTGCCTCGCCTTAAAAGTGCACTGGTTTTGTGGGGAGCCTGGGCACTGTGTGTTAACTCACTTTCCAGATACCCACGGTGGGAGAGTTCTACAGCCTAGAAGAGCCTTCTGGGTGGTGAGGGCCTTGTTTCTCCCATTCTCACGACAGCAAGAGGAAAGGCGGCCCTGTGTGCTAAGTGGTCTCTGAGAGGGCCAGCTGCACATCAAAACCTTCTCGGGCTACATTCTGATTTCCAAAGTCAAGCTGGGAGAGGCTCAGAGTGCATTCCTGTGAATGTGCACACACACACACACACACAGGGTGTTATGTTTTCCTTTCTTTTTTTAAATGAAACACTTTCAGATTAATTGTTTGGAAGAGGTACAAGCACAAAATCAGTTGGCAAGGAGGGCATATGATTAAAAAGAAATAAAGAAACCTGTCTGTTCTAAACTGATTTTCACGTAATTTCTTGTTCCTGGAGACAATCATGGTTGATTAGCCTCTTGTGTGACCCACAGAACCATGGGAAAAATACAATATAAAGAGATAACATCAAGTGAAGCTTACAGACAATGATCAGGTCATTTCCCTTGCTTTAGCACCCTATTTTGAAATTCTGTGTATAGTTAAACACAAAGGTTGAAAGGTTGCAATAATTCTACTGAGGACCGCAGTTCTCCTTTCGCTGGAGTTGTAGGTTTCAGTTTAATGCTTCAGAGCTAATCACTCAGAAGGGGCAATGGTTTGGGAGGATGACTTTTTCTACAAAAGAGCAATGCTATTAGTTGTTTTGCAAGATTGAGATTATGCCTAAATTCTTGTCCTGGGTGCTCAGTATTTAATGGAGCTCAAGAAATAAAATGATCGGCCTTGACAAACTCAGCTCATTAGAGGGCAAAGATATCACTTAGGAAGCCCGTCCATCAATATTATTCTTGTGTTTCACCATCTGCCCTTCAATAACTGGACGCTAATTGGCTCTTGTTTGAAACAACAGCCCCCCTCTGAGCCAGGCTGCTGTTGGAAAAGACTTGTTAAAGGGTTTGCGGTTTGCTCACTTGCTGCCACCTCCGGGACTTCCCCCTGCAGTGGGCTTTGACAGGACAATGTTTCCTTTTCGATAAGCATTCAAATGAACACCTAAGCAACAACCACAACAATACTAACACGCTTGGTCATTTCCTTACTCTCCTACCCCTTTCTCTGGAAAAATAAAAGCTCTTCCTTCTCTTGCTTTTGAAGGCAGCCAAGCACTTAACAGCCCTGATGGATGTCTTCCTGGATGAAGGTGGCTATTTTGACATATGTATAATGCTCTTCTATGAATCAAGCCAGTATTAGCTATTTTTGGACCAACCCCAGGGATCTTTAAAAGCTTTCATAATGCAGATCACTGTACACCTACCCTCAGGCTGAGGAAGAGTCCTTGCTAGAGATTGGGACGCCCTGGGTGACCTTTGGCGCGTCCTCCCAGCAATGACACTGCCACGGACACATTGCAATGGCTTGGGCCCTCGTTGGGAGAGTGCTTTTGAGGAAGCAAATGTAGTCTTCAAGATTTCAGTAACGCTGTGTTTATAGGAGAAAAGCTCATTTAGATTTCTCCTTCATCTCCCCAGTGCGGGCATCCAGTCCTAGTGATGTTTCAGTGTTTCCCTGATCTCTGTTCAGAACACCGTGTTGTTATGAGTCAGGTTTCCAGGAGGTGGAATCTACTGCCCAAAGCGTGACACTCCTGAAACAATCCATTTCTTATGTTCCAAGATACCAGGCCGGCCAAGGCAGTTGTGGCTGTTTGATGATTGTTTAATGTTCCCAAGTCCTCGTAGAATGAACTTGCGTTTACTCCTCTGTATTTTGGATAATTTGAAGTAAGGCAAAAGAAAACATTTAATAGCATATATAAAATTTCCGTAACTGGAGTGCTAGCAGATGAAGAATAAAACCTAAAGCATAGGAACCCATAGCAACATCGCTTAGATTTGCAAAAGATTAATTGTGTGTCAATGGTTGTGCCTCAACCTCCACCATGGTGGGGCTGTTGAAGCCCGACACTAGAATGGATTAGATTATTACCATCAGAAAAAAAAAAAAGGAGCAGATTCAGGAGAATTGCATTATCTTTGAAGTTCTTAATTATTTCTTACGGCCAAAAAATGTTCCGTACTTGCTGAATATTGAATCTGAAAACCTCAGGATCTAATCAGGGTCAGAGGTTTAGGTTGACCACAGATCTCTCAAGAAGAAAAATGTCCATTGCTAAAAAAAACTTTATTTGTGGTTTTCAAGTAAAACCATAGTGGACGTATCTCACAAATAACGATAAATTCCCATGTAAGAAGAAATCAGAATTGTCATGCTTTTATTATTATTTTAAAATCTCAATATCATGTTTTGGAAGTGTGAAGGTGCAAGAAATACGTAAAATAGCTCTATTTCCAAAGTAACTAAGCAGCTCTTAAGTTACACTTCTTACTCAGAAAGCTAATTTTAACAGAAACTATTGAAGAGCATCCAGTAACAAGAGCAGGCATTTGCCTTTGTTAAGATGCCATCTCCCATTTTTAAGTACCAGAGTTGGACAACCACTCTGGATCCTGGTTCCAGGTGCCTGCTTCTTGCCAACCCTGAGAGATAGCAGTGATGGCACAGGCTCCTGCTACACACTTAGGAGTGCTAGATTGAGTTCTTGCCTCCCAGGGCTGGCCTTGCCCAGACGTGGCAGTTTGGGAACTTTGTAGAGTAAACCAGTAGATGAGAACTCTGTTCAATTACAACCAAGAGGAAAGAAATCTGAAATACTGGTATGAACGGAAATCTATTAATTAAAAATGTCGTTTCTGATCATTCTACTGGTATAATTTGGAAGGGAAGGCCAAAGAGCGGTCATGTGGACTCACAATAGCTAGTAAAGCAAGCCATCGGCACTTTGGAAGCTTTTCTAGAGGTCACAAGTCTATTTAGTATACCCCATTACTGGAGGCTGCATAGGCCTGAAGCTTACAATAGATTTGGAGGAGCCAAAGTACAAAATCATGAATACAAAATTACTCAAGGATTTTCACTGGACCCAAGAGGGCCCAAGTTAGTGTAGCTTAAGGTTTTATCAGGTTTAGGTTACTGGTAAATCCACTTCTGCTCCTGCCTTGAAGCTGTTGCTTCACCTCCACTGCTCTACATCAAGCAGCTCTCTACCAGATGAAGAACTCTGTAACAGGCTAAAGAATGTTTATATTTTATTATTAGAGTAGAGCATAAGTGATTCTTGATTGCATAATAAAGAACAAACAGGAAGCTAGAAGGCGGAAGGAGGGAGAAATTTAGACATCCCTCTTTAGGCAAATTCTGGCTGGAATATGTTGTAAACCTTCAAGAGTGTGAACGTTGTCTCAAGTAATCTCTTTCATCTTCACAGAATGTAATTTATGGTGCATTTTGTTTACTGTTTGAGGTTTTTTTTTTTAATATGCGTTTGCTAGTTGTGGCAGTTGGTAGCTTACCTTCTGGGAACAGAAATATTGAAAACGGAAGGAGGTGTTCTGCAGCGTTTCCTAAGAGAGAGGCTTGGACGTAATTAACTGTGGTGTTTACAAGAGTAAACCTTGGCAGTAGATGGGTGTGACTAAAGCTGCTGGGCCAGAGGGCTCAGGGTTGCTCGGCTCTACGTTTTTACCTTAATGGAAGCTATAACATCCCTACTTCACTTATGAGAACAGAGATAATACCTGGGGATAGCTTGGCACAATGTGGAAACTTAATATATGCTAGCTGGCTATTATGACAAGGAAGTTAAGGGCATTGTAATAAATAGCTAGAAAGAAAAAAAATGGGCTAAAGGAGAAAAAATACTTTATATTGTATTTATTGAATTCTCAGTAGCTATGCATAGCTATTAGCAACTAAGATTGAAGAGTTTTGGAGCTGGAGAGAATAAGTAAGGTTATTGATAAACTCAGCAAATTATTAGTAGTGCATGGGAACAGAGGAAAGGAAAATAGCAGTAGCTACTTGATAAGTGCAA